GTTATCATTATTAGTTTCTACTTTTCTGTTCTATTAAACTGTTCTTATCTCAACCCATGAGTTTTACTTTTTTTCCTGATTCTCTCCATCCCACTGGGTGGGGGTGAGTGAGTGAGCAGCTGCGTGGTGCTTGGTTGCTGGCTGGGGTTAAACCACGACACTGATTTTCCGAGGGAACCTCCTGTGTTTCTGTTTGTGCCCATTGCTTCTTGTCACTGGGTACCAATGAGAAGAGCCTGTCCCCATCTTTTTTGCACCCTCCCTTTAGGTATTTCTATACATTGATAAGATCCTCCCTCAGCCTTCTCTTCTCCAGGCTGAACAGAGCTCTAGTCCCAGCCGTCCCAGCCTTTCCTCACAGGAGAGATGCTCCAGTCCCTTAATCACCTTCATGACCCTTTGCTGGACACTGTCCAGTAGCTCCATATCCCTCTTGTACTAGGGAGATAGAGCTACTCTCTTCATATATAACTCTACCAAACCTTTTTAAGATATTTCAAACACAAGTTACATGTAAGATGCATTGGGATTTATTTCCACTCCTTTTCTTCTAATTAACATCACAGGATGGTAATATTTTCTTGCCACGACTTGATCCTAAGACAGGTCAAAAGATCATGGCAGAGAGGCAGTTAAGTTTTTTTCAGCTTGCAGGGAATTCACATAATAAAGATATCCAGACAAGGCCCCCACTCTACAGTTACCTGGCTTGTGCCAGACTATAATTCCTGAGACTTTTCTACACTTAAGCCATTCACTTGTGATTGTTCCACGAAGGATTAAGAACTGATACGTAGTTTTGCTACTGCTAACAGAACAATAAACAGCCATTTGCAAAAGTGGTGTTGAATTAGTGTGCCTTTACACAGATCGCATGCAAGTCTACAGGGGGCTCCAAAACTCTTTGCAGTGATCTGTTTTGGATTAAATTAGTGTAATGCAATTTACATCAAAAACAATTTCTGAACATATCCATTTCTCTTCCTATACTCAATCAGGAATGAGGGAAGGGAAGAAGGGAGGAAGGAAGAAAAGGATAATATTGCATTCATTCATTCATTCATCATTTCTTTTTCCATTTTTAGACTGTAAGATTATTTCATCTGCTCTCATATGAACTATAATTAATAGCATTAATAAGGTGCTTAGCCTACACTGAAAGCAAATTAATGTTATTAGCCAGAGAATAACTCTCTAAGGCATGTCACATGCAGTGACATTGTAACTGTGAATGCTTTAAACACGTCAGTATGCAAAAACAGTAGACATACATGGTCCCAAAGCTTATCCAGAGACTTTGTATTTCGTATTTTTGACATGGACTGTAATCATACTCTTCAGTATTGGTTTAAGAAGCCACAAACATGAAATATTCAAAGGAGTATTTTATTCATATGTCTTACAGTTTTTTCTCCTCCTAGCATGGAGATTGCCTTGTAATTGAATTATTATCCAGTTAGATAATTGATTCTCAATAAATAAACAAATGAAAATGGAATTGTCTTTTATTTAGAATTCTCAGTCTGAGTGGACTTCTCTGTCTAACTAGAAAAGCTGTTGGTTTTTCTCTTAAATATGGCAGCTACAATCTTCTTTCTGATTCCAGCTGATCTCTCAGGCCAGGAACAATATTTCATTTGCATTTCATGGTCCAATCTTGATACAACTTTTTCCTTACTGGTACCTGACAGTCCTAACTTCTACTTGTGACTTCTCTTCTACTCTTTTTTTTTTTTTTTTTGCAGTCATCCACAAGGCTTTAAGCACAGTATTTCCCAGTCAGCAGAAAACACATTGTAAGTTTCTTTTAGAACTGAGTTGAAGTTGGTGTTTCTTTTCCTACCAGATGCCAAACACTTCTGATGTTGTACTATAATGCAGTTTTCCATGCACTCATTTTTACTTCCTATGCTTGTGTTGTCTTTAATCAGAAGGTTTTGCAGCATACTGTTATATCTGGGCTATTTTGTTCTTATTGCTTTTGCATGTTACATTCATCTATGCATAAATCCCGATTTCTGTCTAGTGAATGATAAAACCTCCCTGTGTGGAAAGCTTATAGTTTTCACTTTTTCAGCTTTTCCAGACAGTTTTGTTTGACTTTTCTTCTGTAACATTTTCAGAGGCATTCCCAGAAAATACTCGTTACTGACATCAGCAGTACAGTGAATAAATCTACTTTGTCTGACATAGTTGACGCAATAAGACTGGAACTTTCAGTGGAGGTTAATGGAAATAAGTACTCCCTTCAACTGGGAAAAAAGAAAAAGAAGCTATATTATTCCTTCAGCCTCCTTTGGAAATGCCAGCCTTTAACTTTTTTCCATCATTCTAATAATGGAGAAGAAAGTAACGGAGGAACTAAACACATTTTCTACCTCCTGGAGCAAATATGCCATCTGTCAACAGAGGAGTTTTACAAGACATAAGCAAAACCAAGTAACCAGATCCCCAGCTGAAACAAAATTTGATGCTTGTATACTAGTAAATGACAGACAAAGATCTGTCTGCTGATTAAGCTAGCTCCACTGCCCCTGATGCTCCTCTAATGAACTGTAAAGGACAATACATGAGGAAACTTGTGTATCTCCTCCGAGTTTGTTTGAAATTCCTGTTATCACCACTAAATTTGTACCTCTGATTTATCCCAAGCTTTTTTAATGATATGCTTCTGACCTACAGTTTGGTTTGTTTGACACATCTCCTAAGAGCCTGTGGTCATCCAGCAGTGGTTTTTAATCTGTTACCACCTCTGCATCGTTAAATAGCCTGAAACAGCAGCATGTCGCTGCCTTGGTTTCCAACTTGTTTAAACCCCGAAGCCACTCTCCTGAAGGAGGGAGCAAAATGCAATGGCAACAGCAAATGATCAGTTAGGCTGGAATAAGCTAAATATCATGGAACAGAAAAAGAAACAGTAAAATCAAACACAGACAGTAAGGCCAGCTAATGTTCAGTAGCTTACTACAATGTGGATGCAAACAGATGTGACAACACATGCATACTTTTATCTAATGCAAGCACTTGATTGACCAACTGCTGGTGGCCACTAACAGAAGTGATAAAGATTCAGGGTGTAATACAACCGGAATGAAAGCCACTCTCTCTTTACAAAACCTGATTTACAAAGGAGGTTTTCTTCTGTTATCTCCCACGTTGAAAACCCTTCCTAAGTGTATCACAATTTCCCACAAGGCTTTTCCCCATTTTTGCAAATACTGCACTAAATACATTACATAACACTAAATGTGCTGTGCTGCCTTTTGTCCTGTAGCTTCTGAAACTAGTCTTCTTGATGCAAAATATGCAAAGAAACTTACATGATGTTTAATTGCACATGCTTACATAGTTTAAAAATATGTATGCGCCAAAGCTGAATATCTGCTTATAGCAACTTCATAAGGAAGCAACATTTTCTTTAAGAAAGCCAGTTTGCACTGAGTTGTACTGAGAACAGAATCGACTTGGGGTACACAGGAAGGAGGAATGTAAGCTCATCTTTAGCTCCTAGTACTGCTATTCTCCAATATGATTATTTTCAAATAAGAACTGTTAGTTGTTTTCACAGGTGATTATCTCTGGAATCAGAGTCACTCCAACACATCTAGAGATACCAGAAGCCTGTTGAAAGATGTAATGATCAACTGCTCTCCAGCCTCAGAGAGAATGGAAGGCTCTGAAGGGCAAATTGTTTGGCTTTGACTATTCTTCATGAACAGAAGTAGACCTCACCGGAGTGATTTCACTAATTCGGAGAACTCACTAAAATAATCAGCAAATTACTTTTGCCAACAATGCACATTGTAGTCACTTTATTTGAAAATATTTTTATATCATGTGGTTACTTTTTGAATTAGTATATTGCTGTATGAGGACAACCTGCAGAGGCCAGATGGTACCCAGAAGCTCACAGGGTTGGATTTAACTACTCCTCTTCAAATGTCCACAGTATGGTGTTGTGAGGGACTCAAAGAGTTCATGTCTCAAACATTGTGGTGGGGCAAGTTCTGCTTAACAACGAACTCTGCATAACAAGGAACTGCCTAGCAAGGAACCCCAGGTGAAAAGAAGCAGGGAAGGGGAAGGTACTCCCCAAACGACTCCCAAGTCCCAAAGGCTCACAAACAGCTCATGACACCTAATTAGCCTAATGAGTTCGAGTGCCTGCCCGAAGGAGGGGCAAGGATGACAAAAGGACACAAACTGAAACCCCAGGTGCGCGTGCCCACCAAACCGGACCCCTCGGCTGACTGAACCAATGCTGGACCCAGGGCCGCTGAAATCTTTCTCTCCCTCTCTCTCTATCTTGTTTCTCTCTTTCTTTTTCCTTTTCCGTAATTCCTACACCTCATCCCTTCAGACATAAACCGTTGACCAAGTCTGGGACTAATTGCGGATCCAGCCGCCCCTGGGCTCCTCTCTGAGAAGGAGTCTAGAAAGCAAGGGGGTCTGCTCTGAACCTCGGGACTCAACGGGAGGGCTCTCCTTATTGTCCTCCCTGAACTGATTCCCAAATAAGCAAGGCCTGTAGTATATGTTTGATGATGTATGGTTAGCACACGTTACACAGTTTACTGACATAGTTTCATGCCAGTTCTTATTGTGAGTGAATAAAAGTTGAGTTTTGTGAGTTAGAGGATCCCTGGTGTTGTTTCGCCTTAATCCTGACCTGAGAATCAGCAAACCTGAGTCGTCATCCTGAGAAATTGGGACGTGACAGGTGTCCATATCTCTGCTAAGTCCGTACTTTATAGACTACGTTCATAGTCAAAGAAGAGAGCAGGCATTTGTAGGTCACAATAAATTTGGTCATAAAGTAGATATTACAAGAGTTCAGATTATTGTGCCTTTTAAATGACTGTTTCTTTCCCCTAAGTATAAAGGACAAGTATGTCAGATATACCATACACATCCAAACTGCAGAAGTCTGCATTTGGTGGACATGAATGTAAGTCTTCCATGAATTCCCATCATATCTGTTAAAAGCACATGTAACATACCTACACTCCAGTCCATTTCCTCCACTGCATCCCCATATAAACCATGCTTGCTCTTTCCTCTGAAATTGTTTGAAGCATATAGAGCAGTATGGACATGTAGATAAGACAGGAAAAGAAGAAATGGTGTATCAGTGTTCCTGGAAAAAGAAAACAAAACAAAACTCCAAACCCTTAGTATATTTTATAACAAAATTTCTACAAAGAAATCTTTCTACAATAGAGCTCAAAACCAAAACCAAAACAAACAAACAAAAAAAAGGAGGAAAAGGAATACTGTAACTGATTATGGGGTAATCCTGAAAACACATAGACACACACAGAGTAAAAATGCCATTCTTAACTGTATACTGAATTGAAAGCAAAAATAAACAACAAAATCTAACTAATTACTGTTTGCTATATATATTGAAAGAGGACTTGTTTAAAGCCAGGAACCTAGCAGTTTCTGGCTACAAGCACCTCTCTTCATTTTACAAGCACATATTTAAAGGCCCAAATACAATTGTTGTTCAAAAATATACCTTCAGAACTACATATATATGTGAAACACAATCACCTTCCTCACAAATTCATATGGAAGCTGATCAACTACACTATTATGAGGACCAGGGTCAAACATACCATAATATCATTAACTACGTTAAATCAAGTATACTAGTACTTTTCCTCCTTCTTTATCCCGGACTAAGCCATATGACCAAATCTCTTGTCATTTAGTGCTCTGTGTGTGTATGCATGTGATCAGTACATAACGCTACAAGTATGTTGTACCAAAGAATAAGTAATCTCAAAGTATCTACTAACATAAAGATTTTTCCTCTCACAGTAATGAACAGTCTCCATCGACTTCAGTCTATTTCCTGAACTGATACAAAAGAAAGAGGGCAATAAACAGACTCTCTGTAAATTTTGCCGTTCACGTGATCTGTCAACATGATATTTATGATCAGTTCCAGCAGGCTGTGAAAGCACAGCTCAAGTAAGAACTTTTCCTTATGCATTATTTACAGAACTTTACTTAAAATTGTGCACTACCAGCCAAATTTACTGCTATACTCTCTAACAGCACTTGTAGTACATTATGCATATTTTAAGTATCAGTTGAATCACAAAAGCACTACCCAGAAAACTTGTCTGGATCTCATCTTAAAGCACACAGCTAATTACAGAGTAGTTGGGGGTTTATTTACCATATTTTCCCTTGCCAGTGTGTGGTGGATAATACCTGTGATTCACATCAACATCAAAGGGAGACTAGATTTCCTCATGCAGCTGATTCATCCACCCTTTAAAGAAGGGAGAACAATACAGACATGCACAAACTGTTTCTTTAAAATGAAAAAAAATTTTAACCTTTAGAACCTGAAACCGAAGTCTTTTATTAAAAGGGATTCATCTGGTATCAATAGTTTACTCTTAAGGAAAAATAACTAGGTTTAATCTAGTATATTTTTGATCCATTTTTCCTCTCTCCTTGGTTGGATCTGTTTTTACAAAAGTTGCATGGTTAAAGCTTTCTTTTTTACTGGCATATGCAGCAGTACCTAACCACAAAATGGGAAAATTCTATCCAGATTACTTGCTTTATAATTGTGTTTCTGACTGAGACTTTTTCTTCGTAAAACATTTCTCCTTTTTTTAAAAAATGACAGAATAAATAGAACATTTTTCATGTGGAAAAGGAAAACAAAATTATTTGAATTCCCTTCAAATATTTGTGCATGTATCCTGTATGTATCCTGTATTAGTATTATAAAGTACAGAGTCAAAAAAATAAAGACAATATTTTTCATAAAAGATGCACTTTCCATGAAGTTGTATTTGTTGCTATTTGAGAGGTCATGCTTGTGAGAAACTTTCATTACTGTAGCAACAAACAACATTAGACTTCTGAGTCAATTTAAAAGACTGAAAATATCAGCACTTCAAGTAAAAAAAGATGTATACTTATAAGTTAAATATTTAATATGTACATTAATGTAACGCTGACCTTTCATTAAAGAACATTTCTGCAAGGCAGCTGATTTCTGTTTTACAACTTGCATTTTTTACTGCATGGGATTATCTTTGACTTTTTCCTTAAACATAGTTCACTCAATTGAGAGTAATATACAAATTCTAGGGTAAAACACGACAAAAATTTACTTTATACTTATAATGGTGTAGGCACAATTTCCTTTCCCTACAAATTGCCTTGTTCTATTGTCACAGAGGTAGTGCATACTTCTAAATGTATACCTGTATTGCTAAAAGTGAGTATCAAAAGCCTCCGCCATAGATGTTATTTTCAAGAGATAATAACTCAGGTTTGTTTGGGGGTTTTTTTGAAATGGAACTGACACAAAGATCTAACTTTCACGAAGAGTCATCGAATCAATGATTGATATGGAAGGGCACTACATCATTCTCTTCTTTGCAACTCAAATTGACAGGTTCTGATTGACAGCTCGCTGTCAGGTGGAGAAGTGTCTCACCTATTAATATCCTATAAAAGATCACAGGCAGCTATTTATCTCCTGCCAAAACTCTTTGAGGAGAATCATAACTGACTACCCTTACCGTGACCTTGAAAATAGAATGACAATATCAGCTAGTAGGCAGGAGAGAAATTCGACAATAACAGCTTAACTCCTGAACCACTTCAGTAAACAGCTCCTTCAAAAATGTATTGCCACTATCTTTTACACAGTTCAAACACAGGGAACTTCAGTTTCAAAAGATCTGAGATTCACTTACTCAAATAGAGTAAATTTTTTTAATCCCAACATGAATCACACAGTCTTTTCCATTTACTGAGTAGCCAGAGAGGTTACGCACATCTGACATAAGACATTCTTTAATGTGTGTTTAACTGATCTCGAAAACATCTAAAAGCATCACGTTGCTGGTGACTCCTCTGCATTACATAGTACTAGGTTCTTTTTTAGTGTGAGCAGTCTGTACATTACTCAAGGATTCAGTTTAGGCTTGAGCTGTGAAACACAGCTTTAAAGTGGGTGAGAGAGCAAGTTACAACTAATCTGACTTTGTGCTTCAGACATGGGTCTTTTAACTTTTTTTCCTCCAGTTTTGCTCTAAATGCTTGCTGCATTGAAAATTCCCTGGGTAATTTTGTTTGCTTTTCTGTGCATCGATGTTAATCTAAGACCACTGCAGCAGAGCAACAGGTGGGACTCTGAATTTGTTGGCCTGCATTTGTCACATCAAACTGAGATTTCAAGTATGATTCTGTACTGGAAAGGAGATGGGAACACGCCACAGGGATCCATTCTACTTTTTCACAATAAATTCTAAATTAACCTTTAATATGATGTACAAGTACGATCTTTCTGAACAACTTTTTTTTTCTTTTTTGCTAGATGTGAAAGTATCCTCACATTCTGTCATAAAGTACATATTTTTAACCTGTCAGACCACTACACCCCCCGTACCAGTGAAGGTACTATGATTCACAGCAAATGACTATAAAAGCAGAAATAGTTGGCTTTGCCTGAGATAGGCAAACACTGTGCTGTGTTAAAATTGGGTTAACAATTGTTTCTGTAATCCCCAACGTCTTATAAATTCCAGCTAATTCACCCATAAAACCGAAACAGCCTGCAAAGAACTATTTGAAATAGACATAGGGGTAAAATATATTACTCCCTATAAGGATAAATACCTATGATTTAATAATACTTATTGAATGTGTATGAATATGTCATTTTCACATAGTCACAGGACCCCAGAGTCACAGTTAAGATGAAAGAAAACAAAAATGCTGAAGTACATAATCTGAAGATACATTTTCAGCACAAGTACGTAACAGTGTGTTGACGCAGGCAGATGCAAACCTAACTTTTCCTTCCCTGTAGCCCTTTTACTAAAAACATTCTTCCTATTCAATATCCCCCTAAGTGGATAAATTCATTCAGCGCTTATTCCCCATGGCTCCCTCTCTACTTCCCGATTAGATCACAAATTAGACATTGCTCTTTGGGGTGGGACTGGCTGAATGCACTTCATTAAGCCTTCTTGTTCCGGCAGAAGGAAAAGGTAAACCTTGGCCTAGTTGTATAAAAGCAGGACTTTGTCCTACAAGCTGGATTTTGTTCTGTTCTGACCGCTAACAGTGCTAAAATCCTTGCTCGCGTGACTGAATCCATGAATGAATATTTGTGTTACTTTTTTAAAAAGACACACCTTAAACCACAGAACTCATATTTTCCAAATTTTACAGAATCAGAAAAGAGAGCTCCAGACCACTTGGGAGCAACTTATCAAAACCAGAAAGGGTGTTGAAAATGGAATGGGAAAGAGAAAAAAAGGTAAAAATATGGAAAATCTGACTCTTTCTAGAAGATGTTAAAAGTAGGATGTGTTACCACTACATCTGCATTTGTGAAATGATTCTTCCATGCAAATATAAAAGAGACTTTTGACATCTCTAATTTCATGCCTATTTCTTCTTTTAAACGCTTAAGGTACACAATTCATGTATGTTTTTATTTCCTTTCTATAAAACCTTTTTCTCCCCTTCAAAAAATGCATTCTCGTAAGGATGGGGAAAAAAAAGACACTTCTCATCTACTACAAATTATACTCATTACTAAATCCTCCTCCCCTGCAAAATTTTGGAGCCCAGTATACGCATCTGCTGCGTTTTAGAAGTGTTCCATTTACAATGTAGTCTGTCACTCACTGCAGAACTAGTTAAGTCCTTAGTAATTCTTAAATTATTTAAATCTTTCATTTTCAGATGGCCCTAAAGTATACAAATTCACAGCTTCTTCCTGTTAGCTTTTTGTTCAAAAGGAACAAGCAGTGGTCTGAGAAAAAGGGATAAAGATCCAGCAGAGTTGTTATGGCTTATAATCTTGTGTACACAAAGATACACAAACTCTTCTCTAAAATTTGTATTTTGCTGTAAACTATAAGGAATAGTCTTTAGGATTCATAAAAACATTTGATTTCAGAACTGTAACTCCAGTACAACATGCCAATTGCCTGATCTTAAAACCTAGTGAAATACAAAAAAACTCTAAACCACGACCTGCTAGAGTAGATGAAAAAAAATCTGAATGTCTTGTAACAGTGTTTCAAGGACTGAAATAGAATAGATAAAAAGAAAATAAAAAATTTATTAACTGTCATCACAAAATTTTGAATATATGGCTATACAATCTATGAGTGAAAAAAATTTGCATGAAAATTGTTCATCTTTACCATACCTTTCGAATATAAACATGTTTGTATGAAATACTGTTTTCCAGAAGTTAGATTTCATTAGGATTTTTTTTTTTTTAATATTATGATTAATTGTATTCAGCTATATGAATTTGTCAGAGAGGTATTCAGTATCATAGAGTGTACTTTTGTGTTGTTAATTTCTGGTATGTTAGAAACTAGTCTCTGGCATTTTCCAAATTTGGATTGTCAGTGCAGCTGGTCATTAAAGGATGTGCAGAAGATGTATGAGTGACAACCACATTGAACTTAACATGAAATAATTAGGATCCATTTGACTTTCAAATATACTGCAATGTCTAGAGAGTGTTCTGATAGGTTTACAATACATACGCACACTTGCTCTTGGGAAAAATTAATTAGAATTAACATACATTGAGCTGACTTGCCCTCTTACAATTAGGGTGAGCAACTAAATTAGTATTTGTTTTTATACACTGGATCTGACACTTGTATATATTCTTCTCCAGTGCCATTTCTGAGCATTGAATCTTGTATTTGCTCTCTTTCAGTCTACCTAGCAACAAACGAAAACAGTAATACACATATACTGGACTAAGGAAGAACACATACAATACCAACTCTCCAAAAACCAGACCAAAGTAAGTATAACAGCACATAGCTATAAGCTATGAAGAAATTATAATAAGATTTGAAAACCAGAAAATCTAATGACTATATACATGGTAAGAATTCATAAAGTTGACAATACGACTGAGAAATAGCTAGAAAAGAAAATAATGTCATGAAGTCCATCGCCTGAACTCTGAAGAACTTATAAAGGTAATACAGGTAATAGGTATAATAAACTTACATAGACAAAATATTTATGTTGTAATTGTTATGTAACTATATATATCCATATACATTATATATAAATATAGCATAAAAGGGCTATATAGGAAGTACCAGTCCTACTGAAGATTGGAGCTTCATCGTGTATTTACTGTAAAGATCATTAACCAATTAAAACATGCATGATAGCTGATGATTTTTAGTGTGATGATAAAATGTATATTAAGAACCAGTTAAGGTGAATGACTCTGAATTCTTTAAATTCAAGATTGTTTGAACTCTGGTATAGCTGTGCACAAGGATTACTGGTGTACAGGGCTGAGCTTGCTACTTATGTATTGTCTAAACAAAAGAAGCCTGTACGACAAATGAAGTGTTGAGTCAAACATTTGGCTAAAAGAGGGCTGATGGAGACTGCTCGCTGAAAGAAGTGGAACAAGAATGCTGTGGAGCAACTGTGGCTTCCAAAAACCTGGTGGCCCTTCACTTACGAGTGCCAGATGTCTGAATGCTGCTGCAAGCTGGTTGCCTCTTGATGGCCATTCCCCTACAAATGGCCTTAGTCAGCAGACTAGTCATAAAAGCAATGGTCTACCAGTGCTCTGGAGTTGACAGGTATGAACTATATAATGTCAGAACCAGTGTGTCAAAGCAAATATTGATTTTGTTGCTCACACTAATATATGGGAGAGATCAGTTCAGTGAATATTAATCTAATTACTCCTATCCCCAGGAGCAAGTTTTATGGTCATACACTTTGCATATGAATTCACTACAGGGCATAGTTAAGATTGCTCGAATGCCTTAATTGCTTCTCAATACCTTAATGTGCTTGGATATTCTTTAATTTAACATTGACTCTGAATTGTCTGGGTTATAATTCTCACTATAATTGCAGCATTCCTGTAACAAAGTTTATTGTAAATTACGAATCTGTGCTGTTAACCTTGACTTCAATTTACCATGACTTTTGTCTGGAAACTATGTTGAGAACTGGGGCCAAGTGCCCAGCTGATGTATAGCCACTTACCTGGAGCTGAGCTAAAAAAGCCATGCTGACTTAGATGATACATTGTTTTGCCAGCTCTAAACACTGACTAAACTATACAATAACACTGTGCACATTATGAATATTAATAAAGTTAGAAGAGTTACTTGTTTTCTAGCATTGATTTCCAATCCTGAACTCACCTGTTTTGGGGCTACCATTTTATTGTCATTGCACTGAAATCAATGAAACATTCAGAGATATCCAAAACACCATGAATCACTACAGACACATTACATACTTGCAAATCACGGAAGAAGTGACCAACGTATAATTAATGTACTCAAGAGTCTTTTAAAAATCACCAAATGCTTGGTCACTAAGCAAATAACCTCTCAACAATTTTCAAAGCGGGGTGTGTGTGTTTGTAGTAAACAAAATATTTCACTATTAAATTAGTTAGAATGTAGGTGAGAAGGCATCTTTAAATCTATCACCACTGCCAAGAGGAAATAAGGATGTTTTCATTTATTTATAAATACTCGTGAGAATGTTGATGGCTGGGAAGACTTACTCACTTAAAGAAATTTGATATAAAAACCATTTTGTTTTGGTGTAATGAGTAGAGATGGCCACATCAAATATTTATAATGATAGAAATGATAGAAAAATTGCACTATGAGATCAAGATTTTAGATCAACATTTTTTTCTTGCTAACAGTCTTGATGACTGCTTCATGCAGTCATTAAGTCTAGGAAATTTAGCCTCTGATTCTTTGGTATAAGTTTTCATTCAGCCATGACAGCATGTGAATGTATTCACAGTAACTACCTGGTACATACTTTTCAGACTAGTAATTAAGGGACTTCTTATGTCTTAGAACATGTTTTTACTTTTGATTAACTATTTTTAGAAATGGTGCAACTTGTTCCAAAAGTGACTGAGAAAAATACTTTGGCATATTTTTCAAGAAGTTAAATGGATGAAATATTTTTGCTCCAATTATATTGATTTGTATTTCAGGATATACAAAAGTATACTTTTATGATTTGATCCCCTTAAAAGCCCTGTGGTGACAATTACACCAAAGTAGCTAACTTTGCAAAAATTAAGAATGACTTAGGATGATTTTGTACATCCAATGTTTAGGTGACCCAATCTGATGGCAATTAAAAAATCATTGCTTTCACAAAAACATTTATTTCCTAACTTCTATAAATCAAATCTTTTCAAAATGAATCTGGCATAAAAATGGAGGCATCTAAAATGACAGTATCTTAAAAAATTGGCCTTATGAATGCCACTTAATGAATGCATCAAATCGATGAAGAACACTTTCCTATTCTAGAAAAGTCATGGGTTATGACTCTGCATTGTGCTTTCATGTTATTAAGTCACACCACAAAAGATTTTCATATTGAAGTTACATGAAATCCTCAAGAATGAAAGTCCTAAAAAACTTAGATGTTTTTTGAAAAAATTTTCTGAAGCATGTAAACATAAATAGTTTTTAATTTTTATAGAGATAATACTGACATATCTGATAGAAAAAACCAGCCATTTTCACTACAGAAATTAAGTTCAGTCATCTTTTAAAGGAAAAAAATGATGGTAATATATAATGACATATTCCTCGTGCCCACCGGTTCACATTTTTTTTCTATTTTTTTGGAAGTATCGTCATTGTGAAATGCCAGCATCAACTCATAACACAGTTAGAAACCTACCTTTGTATAAACTGCATGGCTTCCTTTGTCAGTCTCTGTGTAAGGTTCTCATAGGATAGTGGTTGCTGGATAATCTGATGGTCCCTCATTAAGAAGCAGTTCAAGTGTCGAAAATGATAAAAGAAAAAAATCAAAACCGCAAGTGAAATAGCGGTTATTAACAAGCAGTAACCCAATGCTTGGAAAGGTACTTTGAGAAGGCCAAGGTACTGCACTATTGCCAAAGAGACCAGGGTGATTCCAGTGATTTGGATTGGGATGACAAGGGATTTCTGAACCCCTTTTAAAAACACGCTGCCTTGGCCAGGCTTGCAGTCTCTAAAATTGGTCACGGTAAGCCCATAAAAGTAATCAAATCCATGACTGAGGGGGTGGTGACAGAAGTCATTACTGCTTTCACAGTTCATCCCAAGATGCCACTTTCCTACAAAGAGAAGGACAGGGAGTATTTTTGTAGTCAAATCACCAAACTTATAAAGTATTCCAAACATGAAACTGTCACTATCTGACTGATATCCCCCCACCCCCAGCATTTATTGCGTGGATTCCTATTCTCTATCTAATCTTTCTTTATGCCTTCATCAAAGACTTTGTTTCATGTCTGCCTCTTCGTTTTAGTTAGAAATAGTTTGGCACGGCTCCTGATGGAGGCCATTAAATTCTGAGTGGGCTAGCAGGTCACTGAAGAGCAACAGAGCCCTAAGAGATGGTTAACTTTGAAAATGAAGAAGTCTCTGTGCATGTGTAGTTAGGTAGTCATAAGCAAATGCCATTTTGTAGCAGCTACTGCTTTCTTTGGAAGAGCCAATATGGAGTACAAAATATCTTTTCTGAAATTTTTCTGGCAAATCATTCACATTTGGCTACTTTAAAAAAAAAAAAGAAGAAAACAGTAACAAACAGGAAATAAATCAAGAATAGTGAAATTACCAAGGCATTTATTATTTAAATGAGTGCAGAATCTCTGAAATTGCCAATCTCCCTCAATATATACATATATATATATAGCGAGGGAGATTTTTTAATATATATATATATAAAAAAATAAAAAAAGAAACAACAGTAACAAGTACTGCCAAACACTATCTGTCACAGCATTTTGTCTCACTAGGAAATCACTCTAATTCTGCAATAATGTTGGACACTGACTGACACAAGAAAACATTGAGTCTGATTTGCATTATACTAGCGTAATCTATGTTCATGCTGATTACAGGAAGTATATAGATAATTTGTTCTATGATGCAGGTACAACCTGTTACCATATGTTTATGCATTGCTTAGTGCAACAGACCTAACTGTTTGGTAGCTGTTATTTAAATTCAAATGCATAATTTAAAAAAATTCAAATTCAGTAAAGCCTATCGATACAAATTATGGCTAGAGCTATGCTCTTTGGTCTCAGCAAAGAAATATGTTGAGTATTTGACAAAACACGTCACCCTTGACAAAACAGATGACAATATATATTGCTGGGCCAAATTTTATTTATTTTTTCTGAATCAAATACCTAAACATGACCAGCTAATTCAGGGGTTGTGATCTTAAAATGAACAACCAAAAAAGCCCCACAAACCCAGTAAGTCCTCAACTGCATAACCTAGCCCAAAGAAATTTGAAATATTTTGTCCTAGAGACTTCAGGATACACAAGGTAGAAAGTACATGAAAGGAAAAGAACATAAATAGAATTCTCCCCTTTCCTGAACCATCCCAGCTTTTACACATCTGTAAGAAAGAGTCCTGATGCAGGCAGTCCTGAGCATCTCCCGGGTCTAGAAAGCGGCATATTCATCCTGCACTTCTGCCTTTGGGAATGACAAATGCATGTACTGCGGTACCAAAGAGGGTGGAGATGGGGGTCAGTTCTGATTTTTTCAAATAGTACCTAGTAAATGGGCTCAATGTCATTATTTCTCGTTCACAAACGACAGAACTAAGGTATGGGATGGGAACGCGTGAATGTAAGTTCACCAGTCAGCAAAGGTGGAGAAAAATACCACAGAAATATTGAGCCCAACTGAATTCTTAGTCGAGTCCAGTTCTCCCTGTACATCTCTTGATGGTCTTAGGTTAGAAATACCTTCTGTATATCACAGAAGCAGATACGAAAGCATTTTCAGGTCTGCTTACGTGCCAGTGAAATGGAGGCCTCTACAGCCTTCCCATCCCACCAGAAGTTCTCCCACTGACTGTCAGATGGCTCCTCACCTGAGGCGGCAGTCTGCTTTCTGCGGGCAGAATCGCTCCTGTCACTACTTTTGACACGGTCCAGTGAACGTCATTGTGGGTGATTACAAAAACAGCAACGCAGACCTCATACTGAATTTTTAGATGTTATAATGGTGCCATAAAGGGCTAGCTAAGACTGCAACTCTGAATTTCATTCCCAGCAAGCAAAGACACAGGTTTTGGAAAATAAATGCTTCAATGTTTTCTCTTAGGTTTACAGGACTGTCTTTCTGGAATAATCGTAAAGCCAGATGTGTAGCAAGGTGAGCATGAAACAACTCTCATCAAGTTACATAACTGAAATTAAAGTAGAGGCTTATAATCACAAATATAAATGATCTTCAAGCTTTAATTTTTAATTTTTCGCTGTTATTTGTCAATCTCAAAGCACCAATAATTCAGTAAAAATATATGAAAAAGAAACCCAAACAATTTAAATATACTTTCAAGGTAATTTATTATGATAGGAAGAATTTTCTTTAAACTGGATAAAACTAGACATTGCAAGCCAGGACAGAAGAATCTTGCAACAACAAATTAGTACAGGGGAAAATATAGGACCTATTTTTATCGAAAGGGTTTTAGCAAGCACAACAAATTGTTCAATGTCAGAATGAACTTGGCTCTCAAAAAAAGATTTTTTCAGAAGCAATTTAAGCCAAACAAAGCCAACAGCAGGTTAGCTGGGAAAAGCAACAGAAGCACTGGTTCAAATTATATCGGCAGCTGTGACGGAAAGACACAATTGCCATTCTCAAATGGCTGACGAGGTAGAGGGTTTTGATAAATCCTGCACTACTCTGAAAAAGCAAGTGATGACTGGGACTACAACACATGTTTTGTTTCATTCCCTGTGACAATAACCCCTGTCTTGAGCAGATTATTGTAATGTGCTTTAAGTTCTGGGGCCCTTCTGAATCCGAGAGCACTGCAAAATGCTCTCAACTCTTTGCCGAGCGAAGCTTCATAGTCTGGACACTTCACACAAGCATCATGTGGATTTCAGCAGATTCTACCAAGCTTTTGAGTGAAATTTATGCTGTTAATTGTAAATCAGGAGTACCTTAATAGTTTGAGACCTAGGCTTTTTTTGCCTCTCCTTTGGCCACAATTAAGATTTCTGCAGAGCAAAAGCAATGCAATGAAAGGCAAGTGGAAATGAGAGGCAAGTCCTATTCAGCCAAGAAACTTCATTTGGAGCTCAGTTTTTCAAAACCCAGAATGCTGGAAAGGCTGCAAAAATCCATGTTTCCCCTCTACTTTTCCCTCAGGCAACTGAAAAGGGAGCAGACTGAAGACCCAGTTGTATACAATGATATATTTATTTTGGTATGATTTTGTGCTCTTCAGGTACATGGTAAGACACAAGATGCAAACAGAAATATTTTATGTGCTCAAAGAAATACATTTATGTAAAGTACATAGCAATAATAATATAAAGTATATATGCATATATTATTAATACAGTCAGATTTTAACCATTAACCGGTTTAGCCATTAGTATTTTAAACTTTGGAGATAAGCTACATAGGTGGATTTTAAATTTCTCTGGATGCTAGACAACACACTGGAGTGAGGAAAAGTTGACCTTTACTCAACTGTAACCAATTATAGCAGTAGTTAAAATAATACCCATCTACCTTCAGTGGAATTTTTGCATTATGAATAGCTATTTCCTACAAAACTGCAACATTTCTTGCTACTCTCCAGGATCCTTAACTGGTGAAATATTACATATCCAACACATCTGCCTTTTTTGAGAAAACTTCTTTTTGTTGCAGATCAGACTGTGTCTCTTCCTGCCAGATCTATTGGATGTCACCTTTTTTGTGTCACAGGGGAAAAACAATGAAGTAAAAAAGTGTATACATAAAGTAGATTTATAGCTAAAATATATTTAGGGAAGTATCAAGCAAGAGGAAGCATATACTCAGAGGAGGGCAAAAAATTAAAAAAGAAAGGAAAATGCATTTAGGGAAGAAAAAAATGTCCTTAGAGAGTAAAGGGGAGAGAAACTTGGCAAAAAAAAAAAAAGAAGTGACAGTACAGGCTTGAGGAACTGAAAGGCTTCAAATTACCCTTATGCCAATCCATCACTGGCGCAGGATTTGACAATTAATTGTTTGGGAACTGCTGAGTTAGATTGAACTAAGCAAAGACTCCCTGACCTAGACCAATATGATGTGATAAGAATACCAGCAGAGGCAGAAAATGGGCTGGTTGGGAATCAGAGTCTGCCTATCTAGTCTTCAAATCTATGTAATTTTTCTTTTTGTCATTTACATATGCTTTATCCTTAATTTTAATGCACTTCTTGATTTTTGGAAGCCTTCATTATACTCTAAGGATATGGTAATATTACATCTTATGGTTTCATAGCTATCATTCAGGCCACTTGGAAGAATTGTTCATTAAGCATCATGGAGATAACTTCTGGAGATCTAAGTGGCAAGCTGTCATGTTGCAGTGAAAGTAGTTAAAAAAAGAACATTAACTAGGTCAGCCCCAGAAAATGAGTTGTATTACAGTGCTTGTTACAAACAGAAAAATCATTTTTTTGCAGTCTTTAATTGAAAATGGAGCAACAGGAATTAACTCCATGATGAACATGACAAATTATGAATTTTTTTTTTGCACTATGGTTCAAATATACCTGCACTAAATATACTTCTGCTAAGATTTTCTGGTTTTCTGTTTTGAATCTGTCAGGACATCAAGGTATTTTGTACTTTCAAAGACTGGGGTATAGCTAAGTAGGATTTTTAGTCAGGAACATCGACATTGGTTATCTACATAATATACATATTTTTTGAACAGTGCTGTGAATTGTACGCCTTGCTAAACAGCCTGATTTTTTAAACAAAAATTACTCCCAAAATTGCAAGCTTTTGTTACATTTAAAAATCAAATTGGGTACATCCATCATCTAAATTAATGTAGTAACATTCTGGTATGATGTTCTCTAAACAACTATTTCCTGGCAGTTCCAGTACAGAAATACATTATGTAATACAAGTTGTATTTCACAAAAATCTTCTAAAATGGAAGCAGTGTGGAATAAGTTAGTGGCCAAATTAGGAAAAAAAAAATCACATTATTTAAATGTTACACCTTTATGATATTCATTCCAATTCTGTTTAATATTCATCTAGTGGGATTCCTTTTACCCACCACTGGATATTTATGCTGCAGTTAGTTGTCTGAACTATCTTTTTAATGAGAGAGAAACACATTATTATATTAAACATCTACCACAGGATGAGACAAATTTCCTAGCAATGCTGATTTCTCTCTGATGACTAAGAAGAGAATCCAGACGGTTAGCCCAGGTACTGCATTATCTACTTTATGGATATTTGAAAACTGGTGAAATTAGTCCCACCACTGTGCTGACTTGTACCCTGTGATCGATCCCTCATTGTCTCTCTCTTGCAATCAAACTCCTATTTATACTGAAAACTTTTCAAGAGCTTGACTAATTTTAAATTTGTTCATCACGTTTCTTCAGTACCTTGCACAATGAGACTGTAACTACACAAGTGAATTAGGCATACTTACTTGATTAGTGTTTCACATATGCGTGGGAATGTGCTTAGCTTTGTGCCAGAAAAATAAACTCATTGTGCTGTGGGGGAAAGAAGCTTAATGCAGACCCTTAATAGCCTATATGGAAAGCTAATGTTCTTTTCATTGAAATGAATGAAAAATAATGCTGCGTATGTATGCAATTTTACCTATTAGAGCTGTTGCATAACCTCTCTGCTTCAGGAGTTTGGAAAAAGTTATTTCTTCAGAAGGAAGACCCCCAGAAGAGGCAGAAAATAAGAAGACACCAACTCGTGAGAAGGCAGCCATTCCTAAATACAATGAAAATGAATGAGACTTGGGTAATATAGTAAAACAATTTCTATTCATTCTTTCTGCATGCACTTTTTTGCTTTAGGTGGAATCACTTAAATGACATATTACCACCAGACACTAAATGTTGCAAGTGGCAGATACAATCATCCATTTAGCTAAGTGAGGTCACTTCTGTATCGACAATAGAAATTGAGAAGTGGAGAAAAAATTCTCTGCTTATAACCTTGGGGCCAGCCATCACATAACAGCTTCAGTCCATTCTGTAGATGTTCTAAGGTATAACATATCTGAAAGAAGTTGAGCTTGCATAGTTTATTTTTCTTGTACATGGGGACGGAATGGAGCTGAGGACTAAGCGAGAACTCCCAAGTTCCACTCTCAGAACCTCCACTCTCTTCATTGGTTTTCTACAAGCCTTTAAGGTTATTTGAGAGAAGGCAGTTGAAATAGGGCAGTCTTACAGCTGGGCATGTAAATACCATGAGGTCAAAAAAGAGCAAGAGAAAGTCTGATTCTGGAAAGAGAGTGGCTAGGGCACTCAGCTTTGATGGGGGAGGACCAGTGCTCCAGTGGCATGAAGACACATGATTCAATGCACACAGAGTGCATTAAAGCCACATCAGGTATCAGCTAACAAGACAACATCTAAATAAGGCACAGTAATTTCTATATAGTCAGAGCCTGAGGAACACAAACGTGAGCTTATAAATTACTCTCAGGATGAGGAACTTGAGAGCTCAGGTTCATGAAAATTAGATTACTAGGATTCCAGATGAGAGCTGGCTCCAAGTACAGACAGACAGAACACAGAGTATCTATGCAAATCTGTGCAGATATATCTTCAGGAAGACTGAATTACGCAACTGGATGATTGCAGTGCCAAAGTTACATGACTGATGTAGACAACCAGAATCTTCCCTCAGGTATCCCTTGTGGTTAGATGAGAAAAAGACTTGTTAAACTGGTTTATGAAAGAGAGCTCAACCTACCCTTCAAATGTTGGCTTCAGTTTTTCACCCCAGCTAGTTTTATTGATCACACTTTAGGTAGTTTTATTCATCTATACATATCTATACTTTATTTATTAAATATTTATTTATATTTATTTTTATGTACTTCAGTCTCTTGTAACTGAAATCAATGTCATTCCCTTAAGCTACCAGAATGACAGTACAGAACCATGGTGTTTTTTTTTATCATTACCTTTCTCTGAGTTTGTGTCTTATCAAATACTGCATTTTGGAATATTTTTCTTCAGCTTTATTAGCAGGAGTTTTAAATTTCTAAAATTTTTTCCACATCATGATTCTAGTATCTTCTGTAACAATCCTTTACTAGTTCTTCAATGATGCTTGGAAGTAGTCCATATTTAGCAATTTCGTAATTTAATTAAGACAAAGTTCAATTTTTGCACCTATATGGAAATGATTAGGTATGACTGAGGGCAGATCAGTTAAGAAAAAAAATCAGTTCAAATGCTAATTTTTCAGAAATAAGAACAAGGATCATAATGGAAAGTGACCTGTGGCTTTACCTACACTACATATTAATAGCAATATAGCTGTAACAGGTATATAAAAGTTTCCTTTGCAGCTGAATGTAGTGGAAAATTTAGCAAGTTTTATTAGCTGGCACTTTTGCAGAAGCTTGTTACTTGATTTGAATGAGCACGAACATATCAAGTAGGCTCCAGAGTCTTGCTTTGCTTTCATTCCCAGAAGCAAGGACAGGATGTTTTATCACTAATGAACAAGTGATCTGATTAATGTATAATGATCCTTGCTAAAAATGATGTTAAGGGAATGTTAAAGCTGCATGGCTAAGCACTAAGGGGTTCGGTCCCAGCACACTAAAATAAACAGACTGGATCTTCAGTGACTCAAATGGGCTTTGGATCAGGTACTTTAAAAGAAAGACAAGTTATTAAATGCACGTATTCTTAGGATACTTAACACTGTGTATGGGTAGATATGGAACAAAAATACTTAGAAAGAAAGGAGACTTTTTGCTTTCTTGTTCCCAGTTTTAAGGGCTGCTGGCATAATTAATGAACTGTCCTTCCTGTCTGCCTTGCCCCCCCCCCCCCAAAATAACAATTTGTCTAAACCAAAAGGTTGTGTAGAAACAGAAATGTCTAAGCAGAATGATTTGCACTGCATTCTTCCACTGTGTCTTTCTAGACGCATCTCTGTGATGTTCAACACTCAGGCTGCCCACCAACATCCTGGGAGCAGCGTGAATGAAACTGGGGAGGTAGGCAAAGAGCCCATGGTCATTTGGACAGTGGAGGAAGTTGATGGAATTTGTCTGCTCCTTACATTAAATAACCACAATCAGATTTTTTTCTCAGTATTTAAAAAAAATCTTTTTCTCAATTAAAAAGCTTTATTTTTGTGTTAACTCTTCTGAAATGTCAAAATTTCTCATATATAGGGAAAATCTCAAATGTTGACGAACCCTGCTGAGCTTGAGTAGTCACTGAAACGAGTACCTAATCCAGTAATGCTAAAGATATCAAGAAAGGCCAGAGAAAAAAATGTATACAGTTTACTGCAAATAAAATACGATATTTATATATAAATAAAGTAATGGGATTTTACCTGATCTGATAGGATATCGCCCTGTCAGGAAAGCTGCCCTGCTTGGAGTACAAAGTGGGGATGCTGCTATATGCTGAGTAAGTGTCACTCCTTCCTCTGCTAGCCTGTCAATATTAGAGGTCCTAGAAAAACATAAGCAGGAAAAAAAATAAAAGAATACACAAAGATGATTATCTGGAAATGGGCATGGTGAGATCAAGGCATCCAAGGCAAAAACTATCAGGAAAATCAAGTTAACACTTACTGTATGCAAATTATCAAAACCATGGTGGTGTTGCAATTCTAAATACTATCATGTCAAATATTTTTAATTAGGTGTCAACACTGAATTGAGACACTACGGCATTGTGCCAAAAATCTTTTTCCCCACTTTCATCTACTCTTCATGGCCAGTACTAAACTGTGACACCTGGATGTATTGTATTGCAACCCTTTTTAATGCATTCCTTGACCCAGAACTGTAATTCTGCTACTTACATGGCCTTTCTGCTTCAGCAATGGGGAGAGGAGAGACTGGATAAAGGTTGTACTTCCTTAATCCCTACTTGGTGTCACTTCCGTCTTTCCCCAGCAGAAGTTTTTTGGGGTAGGGGTAATGTTGTGCGGTGGTATCAGTTATTAGGGGAGATTCAAACAGTTATGACTGCGTTAGGCTCTATATTAACTATGCTTACATGTCTGATATGACTATGTCTGCAATATTAGACCCAGGAGCACATCCAAGTTTCCATATCTGCATGGGAAACTTGTCTGTGACGTGGCTCATCACGCAGATGAAAATTGGTTCCTGCAGGAAGAAGTCCTGTGCCCTTGGTTCTACAGAAAAAAATGAGGAATGCAGACTGACCAGGAGCTGCAGCATGCTCTAATAGGTCCCTGACCTGGGAGATTAATGACCATAACCTCAAGGCACACTAGTGCTCCCATCATCTAAGTCTGAATAGTCAGAAACATTAATTTTACAACAGACTTCTTTGCTATCTATAGCATCACCTACTGATAACAAGCAGTATGATGAGATTTCTTCATACTCCAAAGGTCTAATTCTGAATTCTCACATCAGAGAACATAGATCTTGGAGCAGTTCTGGTCCTTGTGAGGGGAATGATCCAAGCATCAGTGTTGTATATACTTTCTTCCTGTTTAAAATTAAGCTGTAACTTGAGTTCTTTCTTTTTTTTTTTTTTTTTTTTGAGTTTGAATTACAAGGAGTTTTTACTTCTAACTAACTTCAGCAGGAACAAGAGTATTTAACACTTGACAGGATGGTGCTTTTAGTCTGAATGTTTTATTAAACTTGATCAGAGACTTTGTACCACTGAAGCACAATGACTAGGTACAACTTGCGGTGTTTACACAACCATCATACCTCAGCTGGTAGTAAGGATCATACTGGGGAACACTGCTGCATTACTCAGGTATATTAACATTTGTTTTAATGACTTTATTGACTACAGCATGAAGATAAATGAAGGAAAAAAATCAGCACTTTCTTTCCAATTGGTTAGTGACAAGCTTATCTCCAATCACGAGTGCTTCAAAGTTGCGTCATGTGTATTTTAAAAGAAAATTACTGATTATACTTTGCTTCTCTAGACCTACCCTTATTTGGTTGGTTGCACAATTCTCTGTTTATGATGCAGCTTTTCATCAGGATAAAAACATCAGATAAGTCTTCTTTCATATTAAGAAAAGAAAACAAAGATTGAATATTCTGTTCTCTGGAAAGATTATTAACTTCGGTTACTTATGAAGAACCTAATCAAATCTCTGACTGTTTGTGGGTTTTTAACTTCACAAATCCATAGAAAAACTAAACATAAAGCTATGACTTCCCTGAATGTATCATCATACCTTAAGGTTCTGTTCCCATAACATCCCAGGTCTCCAATACCAAGATCATCAGCCATCAGTAAAATGACATTGGGATTGTTTGTTTTGACACTGTTTATGGCACACTGGCAAATTACTAGAAATAAAAGGAGTCTCATCTTCTTCCTGGTGTGTAAGAACAAGTGGAAAACATAATAGACTTTTGTTAATTCAACTCTTAATCTAATTTAATCCTATTATTGCACTGGATTGCATAGTAGAAGAAAAAAAAATATACTATCTAATTTTCTTTTTTTGGTTTTTTTTTTCCTCAAGAGATTTTTTTAAACATTATTTTCTCTCCCATATTTCTTGAAAATAAAAATGCATCTTTAATATATAGCTAATTTTTCCTTCCATCCCTTTACACAGATGAAGCCTTTAAGTAAAGACAAACAAGTAGTTAAAACCTCAGTGGCAATACTTTTGCATACACAGATACAGCAATAAATCATAAGAGCAAATAAGGCTTTTTTTTTTTTAGGTATAAATGTGATTTGAGGAACACAGAAACTGAAATCATTTAGGACCAAAATTTCCAAGGTTCATTGCAGAAAAAAACTTCATCATTCTGCTATTGAAGTAAATGACTGAATTTCCCTTCAATACGGGGAAAAAAAAAGCCAGTTTGAGTTTCTTGACAGGAATAAGCATTACGGAAAAGGGGGTGAAGAGATGCACCTGAAATTATTGAAAGGAATGTTTAAGAAAAAGCTCTTCACAAACATTTTAAATGTCAGGGCCTATAGAAAAATTATGTAAAAATATTTGATATAGTACCACAATGTTCAATAAACAATGCTCATGCTGTATGCAACTTAAAACAGGAAGAATGTATTGTACACAATACTACATGCCATTATATGCTTTTATGATAAAAGCACAGTGTATTTGCAGATGTGCATGCTACTTAACCCAAACAGTGACTTGTCATAGCTGTTTAAACTGCATTGACTGCATGCCCTGGCTAAAATTGAGTGCCTCTAGGCTGTGACAGACTGTGCCAGGCATATACATAAAAAAAGAACAAAGCCTGTCCCTCCTTTGCCCCCAGTAATACTCCCACCTTTCCTGGATGCAGGCAGCCTTTTTCAAATGCAGATGAGGCGTGAGTCACACCTGCACTCTGGATTGCGCCAGGACAAGAAGGAAAGTGGAGGAAACCAAGATTGAGATAGAAATTTGAAAGTGCAAGAACTGGAAAAGCAACTAGAAACAAGAATTTCCAGAGAGAATGGGGACAGCAGGTCAAGAAAGAAAAAAACTTGTCTATCAGTGAGTTATGGTAGATAAAAGCAACTGGAGAAAAGATAAAGAAGCCAGAACTGGAAGAGCTGGTACAAAGAGACTAGACATCAAGAGAGACAGATTCATAAATCAGTGAGGTGTGGTGGGTAAAAGTATCTGTAGCAAAGATGAAGTAGTCAGAACTAGAGGAGCTTGCACCAACTTGAATAAAGAGCAAGAAGGGAAGCTTGAGACCCAGCTGGAATGAGAATTGCAGGTTGAAATGAGAAGAAATGGTAGAGGGTTTAAGAAACTGGAACGGATAGCATGACAGCGGATAGGAAAACAAATTGAGGAAAAGAGGTGGGAGAACTGGGAGTGTCTGGGATGAAAGAGCTGAGGAGTTATGATTAAGACAGATGAAGAAAACTGATTGGAAATAGCCTGGGCAGATAAGACTTGGGACTGACACAAGTGAGAAGAGACCAGAATAGCAGGGATCAACAAACACAGACTGGGACTTCTGATTCCCAACCTTCATTATTGCCATTCTGTCAGAAAGTATAGGTGCAAAGAGGATTTTAACTCCTTTAGTGCTTGTTCACATACAGATAAAACACTAAGTATATTAGCTGATTTTTACTGCTTAACGTACTCTTTATAACCCATTGACCTCACTTTGATGACAACAGTTCTGGTTTAGACTTCAGCTGGCACCATCTAAAGATCCCAGCCTTACCACTGTGGCAACAGACCATTCCCCGGTTTACTCCATGGGAAGCAATCTACTTCATTTCAGACATGGAAAACACATACACAACTTTTAAGACTAAAACACCAAATGCAGTTGTGCTTGGTGGGATGCATCTAACGCACGCTTCATCAAATTACCATACTAATGAAGCTGGGTAGCACCTGCCACAGTACAGACTTCTAATCTCTGCGAGAGATGTACCTTTATTCCCTGAAAGGATAAACAAGCGTGAATTGCTTCCCACGCCTTGCAAGAGAACAACTAACGTGCTGACCCCATAGCATAGGAACAACCTGCTGCCTTATCTCATGTTCCTATTCCACTGTTCAGACTACAAGGGTCTTAAGGCCCCTGGTAATAGGGATGTTGAAAGGGTGACGTATACGTTGGTGACATTATACAGAGTTGCATGGATGCTTGCAGGACCTGCACATTTATTTCATAGAATTACCGAGTGCCCTCAGTTTTGCTGTAGGCTTCGCATTGTCTGAATAAAACCTGGACATATATACTCCTGCCACTAACAAACTCATCATTTTAAAGGTACAAAGTTAGCTGGTTTTGCAAGTTTTACAAACAGCAGCTCCAAGGTTTAATTCAACTGGTACAAACAAAACATCCTGTGCTTTAATTAGAAGGTACGGAGCTATGAAGCATAGTCTTTTTCAATGTGTATGGGGTCTTTAGCCACTAATGAACAGAGCAAATTAATTTTCCTTTTACTGAGCAAAGTTACTGTGGGAAACCAGAGTAGTAGCTGTATTTTACTTTCCAGAATGAAAGAAATCTAAAAAATGAGTGAAATATCTTCAAAATTAACTGACTACATTTTATCTGAATTTTAAAGCAATTTCAAGTCTGTATAGAGACATCAGCAGGAAAACAACCTATTCACCAAAATACCTAGGAAAATTAATCACCTTGGTCAAACTTTATAATCTTCTGCTGTATATATGTTATACAGCCTTTTCATATAATATTTTAAATAAATCTACACAGCAAAGTTAACAATAGCTGTGCTCAATATCAACTGGATCACTGTCATTTGCAAAGTGGCTGAAAATCTTACTGTCTGGATCTATTCCTGCAGAAGTTAGCCTCATTTAGTACCTCCGTTTCTCATTTTGCAAATCAACAAAAAAAATGTTATTGAAAGATGCCTCTGATATAATATTGTTGGATACTCCTCCACTCTGAAGGAGTATCTGTAGACACTCTCACGCATTGGCCTGTTTGCCTCCACCTGATAACACGTCCCTGAAGTGGAATCAACAAGGAAACAGGAAAAAAAAATAATCCCAACAACTCCGATTTCTCTGGTGTACTCTCTCTGCAGCAGACTTTAATGCATCTGGAAAGGATGTGCTTGGAAAGCAAGAAAAATTGGATGGATGAAATTGAGTGGAATGGACAACAGCAAAGAAATTTGGAGGAGTAAAAAGGGAAGGACATGAGAAGAATGAAGCTCTGAGAATGCTGAGGCTCGTCTGTGTCACACCAGGGTTTTTAATGGTGAAAAGACAGGCATGTGCAGACCTAACATGAAAATGATTACACCAAATCAGATGAAGCTTCCACTAACCTAGTATTTAGTCTCCAACAGCAGCCAATCCAAATGCTTAAGGAAAGAATGTAAGAAACTTGGCAAGTATATTCTTTTACTAGTGCACCCTTCTAGCTTTTGGCAGTCAGCATTTAGGGTATTTTGGACAGGAGAGCACTGTACTCAATAGCTCTCCATGGATCTTTTTACCTTCATGAATTTGTTTTAGTCCATTTTGAATGAATTAACTTTGGTTTTGGTTTTTGGCATTGAACAAATTTGATTTTTTTTACTTCCACAAGATACTTTAGATGTTCCTGCAGTAGGGTTCAGCTTTGATGGCTTATGTTTTAGATTCAGGTAGAAACATTTTTCCTTAATTGCATGTAGGGCACATAAGGGCAATTTTTAATCTCTGCTTCACTTTTGCTGTGATATAATAGGACTAATAGTACCTTCTTTCTTCCCAAGGTGGCTGCTAAGTTGAATAGATTTAAGAAGTACCTAATTTCCTACAACAAGAGCCATGTAAGAATTTGGATTTCACACATGCTATTTCAAACTACAATACTTCAATCATTACATATGAACCTATATACATGCATAGATATGTAGATGTGTTGATACACACATCTCCACAAGTATGTGAGTGCATACACACACATATCCTACTTTTTCTACATATCTTCAAATTACACTTTGGGGATTCTAATACATATTTTCTATTTGTATTAAAAAAATTAAGTATAAATGTGTAAGAACAAATGGATGAAAACAAATAATAGCTATAATCCTCTCCTTGTTGGTATTTCAATGGATTTGCCAAACAGTTATTTTAAGTTTTAGTTTTCTGCATTAAAAAATGTTGGCAGGTCATACAGAAGCCAAAGACTTGTCTTTTCTCCACCATCACCCCTCAGGATAATTGGCTCAAGATATGACTAGTTGTTTCATCCTTACCCTGATTACTAGAGACACATGCATCTCTTACAAGAACAATAATATGAAACTCTTTCAAACCCCTCTTCCCAACTGAATTATCCCAGCATTTTTATTCAGTTTGATTAAGCAATTTATCTCTAAACTACTCTTTTAATGTAACAGAATCCTTTAAGAAAATGCTTAATATACTTTATCCTTGAAGGTATAGTATTTTCTGATGAAATAAGCAACATTTAAAGATATTCACCTCATTAAAAATGCTGTACTAGGCTTAGGTGGTATGCCCCAAAAAAAAAAAAAAAAAAAAAAATTACCATGCCAGAAGTCCAAAAATTTCCCTAAGAGTCACAAAAATCACACTGTAAACAAACTAGAGGACAACCCTGCCCTCCATAAGATTCTGCAAAGAGAAAATTCCTCAGCTTCATGAGAAACAAAAAAGTTTTTAAATTGTAACAAATGGTAAAGTAATATTGTATACTATTAATAATTTTCTGATATCAGCTTAATATTTGTTCAAATCTCTCAATTAATTCCTCTCTTACAGTTAAGTCATATCTGTTGCATCTTTTATGTCATATGACTGCGAAAAGAGAAATAAAACCATACGCTTCTGGCCTGCTCCTGATGCTAATTCATTTAGACAAACATTA